AGGTACGAGTGTGAAACCCAACCTTACCCCTCACACAGCCTCTTCAATCAACATCTACAGTCAGCTTCTTTGGTTGTGGGTTCCGGGCCCTCACATAAAGGCAACTCAGAGAGCATCAGACGTTGCTAGAAAGGACCTGATCGGGTCCTTGGCTCCCCAAATGGCCAGCTCATGGCAAGACATGGTGAGAGGAGAAAAAAAGGCCCTGGGCACCCACCAGATGGAGAGGATGAGAGACAGACACACAAGCAAGAGATCTGATTTCAAATCCCAAAGACAAAGTCCTGGCAGGTAAAGGCTCCAGAGTATCACAGTGCTCAGGGAGACACCGACCTGTCAAATTCCCCTTCCGCCTACCACCTGCTTTTGGCTTAGATCTCCCCTTGCTCAGGGTGTCCTGGGGGGTATCTCCCCACTCTTGCTCACTCTCAGGCCTGTGACTAACGCCTGCCGGCCAGTTCCTTTGTCTCCTTGTGAGCCCAGACCTGCTCCCATCATGCCTCGCTCAAGACACCCAGCAAAGTCTTTCTTCAAGGTAAGGTCAAACCTGCCCAAACACACCTGTTTACTCAGTATGATTTTGGAGGTGCAGCAGAGAAAAGTCCTCCACCCCTAAACTCCACTGCTATTTGCATTTTCTCTAGAAAACGCCCTGGAACAACACACCTGAGCATCCCTGCACCCTCAGGTCTAAATGCCAGTGGCAGATATATGCCCCCAAATATTCCTTGGGGCAGGTTTGGGTAACAGCTAAAACTGTGAGGCTCATCAGGGATGCCCAGCTCAAATGTGCTGTGAGTGAGTCAAACATGGGCCTCAGCAGACTGTTCTGAATGAAACCCTGGCTGTTTGCTTAGGCTCCGGGTGAGATAAAGGAAACATCCACAGACTGGTAGCAAGGAAAGGCAAAACCACAGAGGTGGAAAGGGGTTGCACCAGTCCTCTTTTGCTTTCCTACCTTCTCTCTACTTGCTAAAAATCCGTGTCCAGAAATTACTCAGGGGTCCTTTCCCGCCCTGGGAATAACAGGTCGGCTCTTGACAACACCCTCTCCAGGTTCACTTGGGCTCACCAATCCCTAAAGCAGGAATTAGGATGTCATCTCCTTCACCTGCGCCCCCTCTCCCTCTTCAAACTTGCCAGAGGCCCAGGAAGCGCGTCCCGTCCCAGGAAGGGGAGACTCACCACGCAGCCCCTGCAGCCCCGGGGTGGCCATGGTGCGGGAGCTGTGGAGGCAAAGCCCGGACTGCCCCGCGGGGGCGCTCGCCTCCCCACAGGCTCATTCACCGCCGCTAATTCCACCAGGCTCAGCTGGGTCTGGCCGTGCCCGCCCCTAGCCGGCTGCTGCCGCCTCCTCCCTCTCCCTCCCCGGCCAGGCCGGCGCCGCCTGAGGCCGAGTGGGGCTCTCCGGGTTGCGCCCAGGGCGCGCGAGCCAACGCAGGAGGCACCCCAGGCACACGGAGGCACGGTTTACGAGGTGGGTTAGCCAGGCCAAACTCAGGCTCAGAGAGCTGAGGGGCCAGACAGTGAGTGCCGCCTGCAAGCCTCTACCCTGAGAGGTGCTTCCTAATCTTCTTGGGGTAGCAACACTCAGCCGATTAGTTCCTCAACCATCTGGCCGATTAGTTTGCAATCCAGTCCACAAACCGTCCCTTCCGCCAGGTTAGGCGATTGGCCCCGGGCGGGCGCTAGGGGCTCCTGTCACACCCTGACTGGATCTCCCCAACCAGCTGGCCTCACTTTTCTCGAGGCACGAGTGGTGGAATGGGTATACAAGGACAGGTGAGGCTGGAAGAGGGGGCGAGAGATTCCTGGGGAGACATGAGGACTGGACAGAGGAGGTAGACTGTAGAAGGAAGGTCCAGCCCAGAGAACAGGCTGCTGTGTTCTTGGGGTGATGTTGACATCTGGCGGTGGGCAGAGGGATGCAAGAAGCCACCTGTAGGGGTCACTGTAGATGCTGGACTCCGGTTTCAGGATGCTCTGACCAAGACATTAACACCCAGGACCAAAACGTAAAAAAGACTTAGGTTAAGGTCAAAGAGTCTATTTATGACCGCTGACCTTTCAGTGTGAAGAGTTTTATCTCCCCCACTGATAAGGTGGGCCATAGTGGTTACTCCCCGCTGTCTAGATGGGAACCAGAGCCAGCGGCTAAAGGGGACGGCACAACACAGCGAGAGTCAAGGGCCGCGCAGACTGCAAACACCCTGCCCCTGCACCTGTCCACAGCTGTGCTCTGCTTGCTGGGAGTGATCATAGCTGACGTGTATGCTGGGCTTGCTTTTCGTCAGGCTCACTTTCAAAATGCTGCTCACATTTTACTGTGTGGCGTCCTTCCCCCCTAAACAAGGCCCTTCTCCCCATTCCCTCCCCAGGGAGGGCATTTCTTCTCAATGCTGATGATGAAAACGTTCCACCTTGCTTCTGTGATCGAGTGCCTTTCTTCTCTCTCTCCAGCACTTTCTTACTCTTTAGTCTCTGATTCTCTCTCTAAAACATCCCCCCTCTCTGCAGGACAGTCTCCCTTGGCCTGAGAGTGAGCAAAACAGAAAGGAGGGAGCAGAGGCGGCTCCTGCCCTTGGAACCCAGCGCTGAGATGCCCCAATGCTCCATCTGTTTCTCTTCCCGTATCTTTATCCCACTGTTGTTTTTTAAATCAAATCATGCAGTTTTCTGATTCCGCTTTTGTCCTGATGGTGAGTTATCGAGTCAGTAAATACAAGACCGGGTGAGGGAGGGACAGGCCATTGGAAAACTGACACTTTCTGATGAGAAGGATGCCTCTTTGTTGAGTTTCTCTGGGACTGATGCCTCCAGTGACACCTCGTCCCCAGGTGGAGTGTCAGGTGGTCGGGGAGAGACAGGTCACTCGCTGTCCCCGATCTGGTTTCCTACAGACTCAAGCTACTCGATGTTAGCGGTAGGGTGATGGATGGAGAAGCGACTAGCTTTGCATTATTGAGCAGTTATATAAAACTTCTGTCCATCCTTCTTTCTCTCTACCTTCCTAACTGCGACCAAGTCTACTCAACCCAACCTTTGGCATTTGCATGTAATGTATCTTCCCTTGAGGTTAACCGTAACAGAAGCAGTTGAGATCTAGAAATGGTGTAGCCGCTGATTCCAGTGACAGTACAGACTGGATCTGAAGCCCCAGGGAAGAAAGAGGTGGCCCTGGTGCAGTGGCCTGAGAGTTCTTTCTAGGTGTCAAAACAACGGGGTTCTGAGCCTGGTCCTGTGGCCCAGCGGCTGTGTGACCTTTGGCAAGCCAATGGGGTCTCTGAACCACCCCTCTGTCAAAGGCAGGGGAGGGCAGTAGACAAGGTGAGGTCTGCATCCTTTCGGGCTCCATCATCCAGTATGTTCAATGCGCTGCCTATCTCCTTTGTTAAAAGAATCTGGAATGAAAACCAATTCCCCATCAAACTCCCATCACACGTCTCGATGCTGCCTTCATTCTGTTGGGTGTTCTCTCTCCAGGTAGTGTCTCCTCATCTTGCTGCACATGTATGTGAATTTCTGTCACATGCCACACCCACATGCTCAACCATGGGGATGAGCACAATTTGGGGTACAGACCTGGGTTCCACTAGTTACCTAGTCTATGGGTAACTGTCATGTAAAAGGCACCAAGAATGAAAATGGGGACATCGGCCTCAAAGGGGGAGAAATAAGTCATGAACTGTAAGAAAGGACCATCTATCTTTCCTCGAGTGTGACAGTACTAGTCGGTGATCTGGAGAGTGGGTGGGATTGGGAGGGATCTGTACCTGCTCCTTCACTCTAAAAGATGTCTAAAAAGGGATGGCCTTGGCAATCCACATGAAGCCCAAAAGAAACTCAGCCCTCACCCCAGGACCAATGGCCATCCCCAGTGCTCTGCGGTGAGAGATGCTTATTCCACCGCCTTAGAGGCTGATGTCCCCATTGCCATTCCTTTGCCCTTTACAGACAATTACCACAGACTCTGGGCCTGTTTGGACTTCACAACCCCGTAAGTGAGATGGACATTCCTGGTTTCCAGAGGAGGAAACTAAGTCTGAGGATCACTAATGGGTTTATTGGAAGCTACACAAGAGTTAGGGCCCTTCATGGAACCCAGGTCTGTACCTCAAATTGTGCTCGTCCCCAAGGCTGAGCCTGGGGGAGGGGCATGCAGGAAAACCAAAGCGCCTCCGTCTGGTATCGACGCCATCTGCACCCATGACCAGCCACTGTGCCCCAGGAGGCCACTGTTCCCTGCTGTTTCTTTCATGTGTCGTAGCCTGTACTCATTGGCCACACACAGCCTGATCTTAGTGGAACAGAGATGCCGGCCACGGCCACTCAGACTCCGGCTTCATCAATCATATGTAAGGCTAGTCGGGGGGCAAGAAGACCCCTGGCTGGAGGGTGGTGTGGGTCCCACCTCCACCCCAAGCGCTGCCTTCGGCTGTGGCACTGAGGCCCCCGGAGCTAAGTTGCCCTTAATAAAGCGTGATTGATGGACATGCCGGCTTCATCCCTAGCACTCACATGACCCTCTCAGTGAGGGATGGATTCCTTCCACAGCCACAGACACCACCCCCCTGCACCTCTCAGGACCCCCTTTCCAGACCCTCGGTCCTCAGCGCCTCTCCCTCCCAGCAGGGCTGCTGCGGGTACACAGGAACTTGCCAGCTAAGGGCTCAGGGAACTCCTCTCATGAGCTGCAATGCCCATCGCTCTGCTCTGCTCAGAAGCCCCAGACCCAGAGACTGGAGGACCCCGTGTTCCCCAGCACGTCCCTCTGACTTCCACACTGAGCTGAGCTTCTGAGGAGGCCTGCTCCACTGCCCCCCTTTGGAGAAAAGACACCCTTCTTTCCCAGAGACTGGCAGTGCCCACAGAGACACTGGGGCTGGGATGACTTCAGAGACAGACCGTGCATCCCTCAGAACCATCTCAGGCATGGAGAAGACAACCAGTCCACATTGTCTTCTCAAGCTGGAAAACAGAACGAGAAGCCTTTTTGCAAGATGAGAGATTGGCCTTTAATGGGGGCCCAGGGCGGGCAGGAGAGCAGAGCTGCGGGACTGAGCACTGGGGCAGCGGCGGGAGGCCACGCCCCCTCCGTGGGCCTCACTTGCCGCACTTCCTGGGGGAGCATCTGCACTGCATGGCGTTGAGGATCTCGTGGTGGATGACGGAGCCGTTGGTGCAGCGCAGGGGCACCTGCATGGGCACAGTGAGCGTGGGCGAGCAGCAGGAGCACTGGTCCTGCACGTCCTCTGTGTCGATGGAGTACACGGCTTTGCTGGCGCATTTACCCTGCAGGGAGCAGAGTGTCGGTCACCGCCATGACAGAGACGGATGGGGGAGGAGGATCCAGCGGCAGGCTGTACCCTCTCCCCCAGCTCCTCCCAGCAGAGAACCCCAAGAGCGAGGCAGGTTGTAAAGGTAGGGCTCAGGGAGCCTGGAAGGCCCCGCATCCTTATGGTATCCCACCCCAACCCTCTCTCTGCATTTCCATGCATGTCTGACTGATCTTCAGAAACGCAGCCCCAGTACCTAAATAGCCTCGTTCTCTTTAAATGGACTTCCCTCCATTTTTTTCCTTCTGGGGTCAAAAATTCCCAGTCATGTCAATAAAACATTTCTAGTCAATGACATGCTCCTAGTGCTTTGCAACTCTCCTCCCTGTGAATTTTCCAGATTCTACTACATCTGACTAGAGAGGTGTGTCCAGATGAGGAGACTCACTCCTCTGCACCCAGATCCCACGGACGTTGGGACGCTCACCTGGCAGTAGTGAATGTCCACCTCCTCCTCGGACCTACAGCTGCCCACTTTGACGTACTGCAGCGTGGCAACTATGTCCTTGCACTCGCGCTCCTCACCTGCAGGGCAGGTGAGAAAGAATCTGGGATTGGCTGGGGAATCTCCGGAACACGGGAACATTCTCCAGTCCGGTCCCCTCCCAGGCCTGGAAGGAGGTCAGTTTCGCGGTAACCAAATCACCAAAGCCAGCCGCGGGGAGAATTAAGTTACCCTGGCCCGTCGCAGCCCTTCTTAGCTCTTCATATTTAGAGATATAGTTATCCCTGGCTTTAACTCATCTAATGGCACAGTTTTAATTGCAGGGGGAGCCTAGATTTAATGAGCTTTGGTGATATTGATGGAAGAGACTTGTTTTTAATACAATTGTAGACCTTAAGAATCATGGCTGGAGCAATCCTCTTAAGCTTGGAACTATATCCAGAAGCTAATGGACAAGGAAGCAGTCAATATAGTTACTACCCATCCGTAGGTATGTGAGAGGGAGGACAGACGCCAGGGAAGACAGGTCCCATCTGTGACAGGGCAGTCACTGCCTCTGTCTGATCGAGAAGATTCCCTAGAGCCCTCCTGGGTCCTCTCTTTGAGTAAAGATCGCCAAGTCAGTGGCGTGGGTGTCCTTACAGGGGCTCAAGGCACTCAAGTCTGCATCTCTGAGCCACCAAGACTCCTACAGCTTAATGACAGCTTACTCTTCCCCACTGAAACACCAGAACTTGTCCACCCTTGGGTGGCTCTAAATCTAAATTAACCCTAATTACATATTAACCCACCTCTCAACTTCCAGATGATTTCATTTTTAAATGAGAGCCTGCCAGTTGCAATCAGAGTATGAATAAGGTCAACATATTTAGGCCAACATGCTGTACTCTCTTGCTGTAGATGTAACTCTGGGCGTCTGGCTGGTTTTCCTTATGAAGGGTCTCAGCTTCCTGGACACCTTGACTAATAAAAGGCCCTTTCTGGCTATTTTTGCAGAGGACAGCCTCTTGACTAAATTCCATATGCTGTGTGTTAAAGAGAATTCATCTTCTCTGTTGGTTCCCTCGCTTCACATTCTTAAACTATCAAGACAGATTTGGTGATGGAAGCCCAGGGGGATTACAACTGAGGCAGAAAAATGCACAAAATGATGTAAAAATAAACTATTATATTATT